TTACTCATTCCACGTCCCCTTCTAAATCCAGCATGAATTTCTGGATATTCCCTGTGAATAAAAATACTACTGCAACAGTTTTTTAAATATTTTCAACAAAATTTTATTTGCATGTGATATTAATGGCATAATTCAATAAATTTACATTCTGTTTGATCATCTGTGTTTAGAATGGGCACAAATTACGATCTCCTCGTCAGTTGTTCAGGTAGTTGTCTTCCAAAAACTTTGGCATAAAGGAGTAAGTGCCTCCCATGCTGCATCCATTTCTTGAAACATCTCAAAGAGTATTCCAATAATTCCGAGAGCATTGTATTTTGCCAGTGCCCACAGTGAAGCTTGGACTTCTTCCTTCAATACCATTGGTTCTTGATCATATGCTACCTCCTGAAATAATTGAATATTGACAAATTTGTTTTGATACTGTAACTCTGTGTATTCCTTCCATCTTCTTCTTTTTTAAAATTGTGATTTGGGTGAAAGTTTACAGAGCAAATTCATTTTCCATACACTAGTTCATATATATTTTTGTACATGACATTGACTGCAATTCCCACACATAACAGCTCTCTTCCCACTTCCTCCCTATGGTTATCTTTTCCCTGTATCCTTCTGTGCAATGTATTCCTGCCCTCTGAACTACTTCCCTGTGGATATACTTCCCTACTGATCTTCCATGATTAATTGCTTTAAGGAGTATATGTACCATCAAAAAAAAGAAAAAAACAAGCAAACCGAAAAACCAAACTCACTGCCATTGAGTTGAATCTGACACGTAGAGATCCATCTTTGGGTTTCCGAGGCAGTATCTCTACTGAAATAAATTTTCCAGTCTTCCTTCTGAGGAGTGGCTGGTGGGTTTGAACCACCAGTCTTCTGGTTAGCAGTCAAATGTCTTAGGCACTATGCCACCAGAGGTCCCATTAGTGAAGAGAGACAATAAAAAATAACCAAACTAAAGATAAGTAATAAGTATTTCAATTGCCTACATCTGTGGGAATAGGTGATGGAAAAGCTCAATATCTTCAGCCAAAACAAGGCCAGGGGCTGATTGTAGAACAGACCATCAACTGCTCAAATGCAAGTTCAACCTGAAGTTGAAGACAATTAAAACAAGTCCACAAGAGCCAAGGTATGATCTTGAATATATCCCTCCTGAATTTAGAGACCATCTAAAGAATAAATTTGATGCATTGAACACCAATGACTGAAAACCAGAAGAATTGTGTGATGACATCAAGAAGTCCAAGCTGTACTGAAGGAATTGGTGAACAACAAGGCTCCAGGAATTGATGGAAAACCCACTGAGATGTTTCAACATATACTGATAACAAATACTGTTTTTTTTTTGTTTGTTTTTTTTTTAA